ATTCAACTCTCCTCTTCATGATGCTGCATGTAAGTTGTCGCTCCTCGTCCAGAGCGTTTAGTTCGTTTAGTTCCAATGGTCAATCACGTGGTTGATCACGGTTGATTATGGGTTGTTGTTGTTGGTTCCGTTTTTTGCTCTCTATCGTCCGTGGTACACCCTCCGGAGGGTGCGGGGGCCTCACGTGCACGGCGCATTGAAATCGCAGGTAGTTTTCGGCCGAAATCCACACGTGTGCGTCTCCGCTACGGACTAATGTGGACAAGTTATTAGTCGTTAGTCGGTTAGTCCTTTCGTTATTATGAGTAATGAGAATGGCGGCAGGGGCGAGGAACGTGAGGATGCCTTCTAGGTAGGGTACTCAAGAAGCAGAGAAGACGTTTGAAAAAGAGGTGGGCTATTAGAGAGACGTGAGCATCCAAAAAGCGAATAAAAAGAAGAAATAATTGATGGTCGGACAGTTATTAAAGGGCACTAAATAACTAAAAAGTTTACAACTTCACGAACGCGTTAAACGAAACGAAAAGCACATCAAAAACCGGCGGATAGTCTCGGTATAAGCCCTATTATAAAACCTATTTCTATGTTTATGTCAAATAAATTAATCAGAACTGAAAGTCCTGTTGTACGGGTTTATTTGCAGTTATTTGCTTCTTATCCGCCAAAAAATCAATAAGAAACCCTGTAGGAAAACAAGTGCACTATTATTCGCATTCGACATTAATACCGTATGTTTCAAACAGCAGGTAGCACAGATTTTATTTGAACTCAAAGGGTTTATTTTGATCAAACCCTTCCAGCACTTATCATTGTGTCGCGCACAATAAAACCTGAGCCCCTAATTGGTAAGAAAAAGGCAATTTCTTTGTGTCGTGTTGGAATGTTTGATAATCCTCCGATAAGCACAATAAAATGAAAGGGTTACCTGACACTGCTCGCACCACACAAAGCGCTCGAAAAAATACGGGTTAACCCCTTAACCATAACTTCGATAAACTGTAATTTAACCCCAATATTACGTGCCGACGGCATTGTTGAGGTCGATCCCTTTTTCGAAAATGCCTCCATTATGATTGCGTAATAAATATATAGGTACCTTCGACATTAGAGTATCAAAAAGAGGTGTTAAAGCGTCATCAGCAAGTGTGGTAACGAGATGAAGTTAATCGGGTTAAAAATTTACAACCTTTTTTGAATGCGTTTTTAAAACGCCGTCTGATTTAACTCGTAGACAATTGTTTACAGCGCAAAGTGGGCATCGGTGCAACGCCCTTTAAAATCGCAACTGTAAATTGGAATTGCGATAGCGCTGACGAAAAATTCAACGGCAGGTGCGAGAGCTCTTTAAATGCATTTTTTCAGCATGAAATTCCACGCTCGCGAACCCCGCAGTCAATCTACATGCGCACATACGGCGTGACGCCGAAAGCAATCTTTTACATCGCCTTATACGGTGCTCATTTCCTTTCGTGCATCTTTCGCTCGACAGCGATTTCTTCCTCCTCGACCGGGGCTTTTATTCGACGCATAGGTCATGCATCTGACATTTGGCTTTTCAGTTTTTTGAAAGAGGCGCGACCGACAACAAGTTGCGACATGTCTGGACAGGGACGCAATTCGGTAGCTGCAAATTATGAAATCGGAGCAAGTCAGAAGCTTCGCGAGCATTAATTTCCTGCCTTTTAACTTAAGTTAATGTTTTGGCCATTTCGAATAATTATATTAATTGCTGTTGGCTGCTACTCTCTTATAATCCTTTTAAAATAAATTTTTAACGTTCGCTGCATATATAAGTTGCACATGAGTCATTGGCCCTTTAACAGAAGAACCCGAAGGTTCCAATTAAAGAAAACCGGACCTTAATTTAAGGATAAAAAACCTGTCGGTGAACCTGCACTGCATCCACATCGCCCGCAAGATACAAACTAAAATTACCTAGTAAACGTTCCCCGGGCCCTTTAAATCCAGTTACTCTTTGTCTGATGCTTCTCCAAGGTTTTTATCTTTTTTTTTTTCACTCAGTACCAATTTCAATGCGTTTCTTTTTTTTTATAATTTAACGTTCAAACGACCGGGTTCGTGAATGCTGATTCATCGCTTCTATTCATTTCTCTTTCGTTTTTCATCTTGGATCGTCTTCTTCCCACTTCTGCATTACATCGTCTTCCGAACAGTTATAATTTACTTTTCGACCAACGAAACAACGCATCGAGATTACGCAACTTAAGTCATGATACAGATTAAGATTTGTGTGGCCCTTCGGGTGCTCGGTGGCAATAAATATAGGTGAGTACAACCCCGCGCCTTGAGTGTGAGAAAAAAACTTACTTAAGCTGCGTTTTTGCTCCCATTTCAAGACTCGCATACAAAAAATGCATTGTTAGGATGCGCATTGTCAACTCGCCTTCTCGTAAACGCACACAATCGTTCGCACACACAAAAAACGCACACAAAAACTTTAGCGCTGAAAGAACTGAAAAGATTTTTTGTGCCATGAAGACGCAATTTGAAACCTTGTCGAAACTTGCGTAAACTCGTCTACGACTAGCAGCGACCTAGTGTGGCACAATATCTAGTGGAACTACTATTGTTCGACTGGAGCACTTGTTGTGCAGTTCCTCAAGTTCCTCAAGCAGATATCAACAAATCTTAGGATTTTTGAGATATATATTCACGCAAAAAAAAAAACAATTATATACCGAAGCGTAGTTAAAGAGAGTTTAATTTTCACATATTTCATAAGTAGTTCTGGGGGACTGAAACTAAAACCTGCAAACTGTAAACTTATTAGGGGTGGAAGAGACAACTAAGAAATTAAACCGACGCTTCGTGCTGCAGCCACATGTGTTACAAATATGCTAGAAATTAAGCAAATTAAGGAACACATTCGAACCCCACATACCGAAATTGACATGTCAACCACCAAACCACGCAGAGCCAGAAAACATTTGAAAATAAATTCCACCGAGTTAATGATTTGAAATAGCCCAATCATGAAAGTTTAATATAACTAAAGTCATTTTAAATGAATCCATATGCGAACACGTGTACTTGAATATTTAATATGTTACCCCGTGTGGCACTGTACAATTAAATTATTCTCGAGTAGTCAAATGGCATGCGATTACGACCCGACGGCCTCACGGCGCATGAGGAATCGCTGATTCTCATCGCGTCCGTACAATCTTCTTGATCGCTCGCGCGCGCTCCCGCCGCTGCGCGAACAGTGGGTATTCAATTCCGCGCGCGCGCTCGTGCTCATGCACTACACGCTTTCGCTAAGCCAAGCCGCGGCGCGATGAAACCGAATGCGCTCAAGTTGGAGTGAGTTGAGTTAACGCGAGTCAGGTTGCGCGCTCGCGAGCGCGGCTCGCGGCTCTACAAACGCGCGTGTCCAACACGTGCTATACTTCAATGCGCGTTTCACGTGTATGAATCGGCGGATTTCTACGATTTATGGCTGCACAACACGCCGCACAATAAATGTTCATTGGAAATATTTCTGAGTGATATCTTACCACATCGTGTGATTTTCATCATTCTTACGAGATTTCTTCGCATCTGCCGGTTGAAATAATTGAATTTGTATATTTAAAGAGCTCTTTGTCGCGGTTTGCGTTTGAGTTTGACACAAACTACGAAAACTGAAAAACATCGCCAAAAGAAAAGGGTTTTTAAATTTTTAAAATTCGATATTTTTAAAAGTCTCACTGTGTACAAAAGAAATCCATTTACATTCCGTCCAAATAATGTTTTTCTTAAGCTATTCCATACATTTTTATATTTTTCCGATATGCGGAGAACTCTTTAAAGGTACCTCCGCTTTGTTGCAAAAAGTACTTCTTACCCTTCAATACTATACGGTTAACCAATTTTCCGTCCACGGCTCACCACAATGAGAAATCTTATGCTTGAAAGGATGGAATTCGCATTCAAATTTTAAACCTTTCCGGACCTTCATCATTTCTACGTCTAAGGAGTTATACATTTTGCAAGTCTTGACCGAACGGAGTAAACAAGTTACCCCAGCAACTCCGTTCGGTTTCTTTTAAAAGTAATTGTTACTTTGTAGGATATCCAAAAAATAAAAGTTCTAAAGATGCAATTGAATTCAATCACGTGAATCTGAAGGTATTCCCAATGTATTATATCAAATTGCGTCCCAAAACGGATTGAGTGCATTGAAATGCGTGGGAATCATGTTCGTGTCGAATTGAACAATTTGGGTTAAAATTGCAAATTCGGAGTGTTCTACCTTTAGTGTTCCCCTTTAGAATTTGATGGAATGTGCTATTTCAGAAAAATACGTAAAAATAAAACTGTAAATGTAAATAGATGCGTGCATTCAATTTAAAATGAGTTGCATTTTACCCTTGTAAAGTTACAAAGTGTAGGTACCCTTCTAAAATTAGTGAAGAGTTTTGGGCGCAGGTAGACAAATACTGTTGGATTAGGCAAACCAAAACCATACAGATACACGTGAGGTCAATTTACACTTATCGCACGTAAAGAGATTTTTCCTCTCTCTCATAGTAGGTGAAGAAATCCACCTTCACTTGATGCATGAGTTATCCGTATGTATATAGTGATGCACCATATAAAGCCATGCATAAAAGCTCAACCCCTACGCCAACCATCTGCCTTTATGTTTTCTCTTTGGCCTTTCGCGTTCGCACTCGAATCTCGTGCGCGTATAGATTTCGTAGCCCCGAATAGTGTGGGAACTCGCGAGAATCCACAGTTCCCACGTTTCCCAGGCTCACCCTCGTGTGTCGAACCAATTCCACCTACTCGCATCTCCCTCGCGCGCACTTGCTGCACCATATGCGGGCGTCTCGCTCGCCCGAGCAATGTACACCTGCCCCTATGCGACGCACTGATAGGCTCCCTTCGACATACGCACACACATGTACCCATGATGCACACTTGTACTACACTGTGAGCCCCTCCACTACCTGCCTACGCTCACGCTGCCCGCAACGTGAATCCAACGCGTTCGAACAAGTCCGGGTACCCTAAGGGCCGTGACGTCAGAGCCACGCTGCCGGTATAAATAGAGCGCCGGTCTCCGGAAAAAATCATTCGCTTCTGCGTCCTCACCAAGTACACTTGTACCTATCTGCTCTCTTGTGATCTCCACACATACCCAACTACCAACCATCACCATGAGTTACTACAACGACTACATCGTTGCTTCCAACAACTCTATCAACGAGAACCAGCTCAACAGCAAGAAGGCGAAATCCACCAAGTATCAGCTCAAGCAGCTGATCAAGCCTCTGCTCGCTCTCGTCAAGAAAGACAAGAAGAACAGCTACAAGAAGACTCAACAGCCCGAGTATTACAACGACGATAACCAAGAAATCGAAGACAACTTCGCCAACGAAATGCTCGAGGCTCAGATCTTCAACGAAATCGACAACTGCGAGAACTATTCCGGCGTGCCAGTCTACCAAAACGGCACTATGGACATCATGCCTGTCTTCCGCGGCCAGAACTACATCCCGGTGCACTTTGCCAAAACCGAGGCAGGCACCTTCTTCTGGACCTCGATGATGGGCGCTGACAGCGACATCGCCACCCACGGCGACTTGAATTCCATTACCAATGGACAGCAAGCGCAACTGCAAGTGCCATGCGATCGTTGGGCCCAAGCCTAAGGAGTTTCCAATGCCTTACAACTGGTGCCAGCTTTAACTCTTCGCACTCGACTACCAAATCGAGTGCGAGGGCGACAACGATTGTGATCCTCGACTTTAACATTAAGATTGTGATTCATTTTGCTCAATGATACTGATGAATAACTATTAGGGTTAGGGAAACAGATTTTTTATGTGGCTTCATGTTTTCGAAGCCAACCAATGTGATATTAAGGTTAGGAATTTTGTGATTCATTCGCTTTAAATGTGTCTTCCATTTTTACCCAATTGATATACTTATAAGAAATAAATAACTGAACCGAAATAATATGCCTACTATATTGCAACACTTACCTTCTGCATGCTTTCAAAACTTTCTTTTTCAGATTTCCCTTGAACACCCGGGACACCTTAAAGAAAGAGCAAAATTCAGTATTCTATATCATTCAATGCATGAAATATTTGACATAAAAAGGTAAAATAAAAGTTATGCATGCCTTAAGTCTTAAGAAACAACAAGCAGGTAAAAGCCTGGTCAGTCAAAGTATCAGTGGAAGACAAGTCTATCGATGGTTGGTGATTACCGAGTTGGGCAACTTTGGCACGTACTAAAATGTTTCTCCACGTCGGTAACTACCTGTTCGACGCGTCGGCTTGACCATGCAACAAGTATGTGTTACGGGATGCAATGCATGGGGAACATAAAATACAAACTACACGCCGCGAAGAAGACTCGAAAATCTTGCGGCTCGAGCGCAACGTCAACTTAATGGAATGGAAAAAAAAAAACAGAAAAAACGCAGTGGAGAATCTCGACAGGTCTAGACTTGTTTAAACTGGTCAGATTTCAGTTTAAAAAATGAACATTCTTTGAGAATGACCATGTTTGGATGCATATTACTCAATTTTTATTGCATGCTTTGCAGTCAACTTAAACTAATCTAATCTTATGTTATATTTCGGTAGACAATTTTGTTAGGGGTGGTTTTGGTAAGCACATATTTTGGCGCCGGTTTATGTCTGTCTGCAGCTTCTTGAAAACTTTTCCAGACTTCAAGTACTTACTCACAATGTAAGATTGTAGTTTGTATTCATAAATCTATCAACATTTCAAGTGCCCGCATACTGACGAGAAAATGATTCGGTGCATTATCTTTTCCATGTTTTTTTTTTGCCTTTCCAACATGCAGTAGCGTTGAACATAATGACCAACACGAAGCACACCGAAATAAATAATTTCGAAAATGAGTTACACGAAACGCCCATCCGCGCGATGCGGACAGGAAGCGGCCACAATCTCGGATCCGTAGGAGGCAAGTCCGAGGCTGAAATATCGAAGAACAGGTAGTGCACGTGAATCGCCGCGGGGCGAATGGGTAAATGGTAAATCTCCCAATCTTCTTCTTCTCATCGCGTTGAATTGCTTCTTCTCGTCTTCCCTCGGACACTGTTTTAAGTTGGCATGCACCTCGCGTCCCTTGTTTTATTTTTTGTACCTTCATCATTTCTTCTCACGTGCAACAGCACTAACGTGTTCCTAGCCAAACACGCCGCGTTCATTTTAACTTCACATCACCTCTACCTACTAACACACTACCTAAACTCAAATTTACATTCGAGAATTAATGCCCTAAAAAACTGTAAACTGTATGGTTGTTGTACGGACGTGAATGAGCCACAAAAGCGGACCCTCCACTGTGCAAGGTTGTTTCGTTTGATTTTTTTACTTCTTCATGGTTTCATTTGTCTTTTTTATCTGCGGTGCCCGCTAGGGAATTAAAATACCTGTTCGTTTTCCTTTTTTTTTTTTGGTATTCGTCCTTGTACCACACAGTGAATCATCTTTTTCTTAATTTATCTCCGCTTCGTAGATCGTGTCATGAGTAAAAGATTGCCTTAGCGGACGGTTTCCTGTTGGAAAGTAATATTCGGCCGAAAATCGGATGCGGTGTCAGTGCGTCGATAATTGCCTGACACTCGACAACGCTCAGTGACAGTGCAAACCAATTAAGATAATTAGGAATAGCGAAAACGAAGTGACAACCGAAGAAGCAGCGTCACCGGGCCGCCAACATCAAAGTTTGCTAACGATGCACGTGTGGGCAAAAAAGCCACTTTAATTTTTTGATGATTTTAACGCGTGCGAACGGATGTCTTTTTGTCACCCTCGATAATCTAGGAGTGATTATAAGTGGACTTAATTAGTAGCGACTTAAAGCCTGTAACACTAAATGCAAATCACGTGTCGGGGAGCTTTTTAATGGCCGCATATTTGACTAGTCCAATTAACTGAAAACGTCGGCGTTTAGTTTAAGTAAAGTCCCAATTTCCGCAGGAGGCTAAACAATTTCGCAGAACTACGAAAATATGCAAAAAATCTTATAGGATGACTAGGTACAATGGATTAAATGTTTGTTAATTTAACGACAAGCTCATAAATGTGTTTCCACCCCTCACAGGCATCAATCTCGGGAGGTTATGGGGATACAGAAATAAATTGTGTACCTGTTCGTTTATTTCCCCTAATGTAATTGTAAAATCTACCTGTTCGAAGGTACATAGTGATTGTATTGTGTAATACAACCCCACAAATCCATGAATTTCACGAATTTTTGACGAATGTGCAAAATTTATTACGGAACATAAAAGTTGCACGAACGTGAGAAAATTGCCGAAACGCAGGTGTTTAATTTATGCAAAAGCAAGTGTTTATGACCCAATTGACGAGGCTGTTCTAAACGGCAGCTTCCCATCGCAACCCTCACAAAAAAAGATTCACTCAATTAAAACAAGCAAGATGAGGTGCAAGGGGAATGAAACCCATTGATGACAATTGGCAGTTTGCGGGATGTGTTGCGAAGGCAACACATGTTCACTTGTTCAGCGCGAAAAGTAGCATAGTATATGTACTTGGGGGAGTGCATCATGCAATGCACTCACTCTCGGCGTATTTGCTCAATATGCGCCATGCGTGGCGTGGCACACATGTGCCCCTCGGAACTTTCAACGCGTCGAATTCTTTCTCACGCTCCTAACCTTCCCTAAAACGCACGTGGTCGGCGCGCGCGACTCCTATCGCCGCCGGAATCGCGTTGTCAGCCGCCGCGAAACAAAAGACATTCCTATGCGTCGCTTTAAATGCGTTGTTTGCATACGCAGAGACGCGTCCGCATCACAATCAGACGTCGCGCGTCGCAATCTGCGTACACGCGCGCGCACGAGGTGCCCGAAAAACTTTTCGAAGGAGTTGCGTTGGCGCGTTTCGGTCGCGCGCTCGTCATATGCGCCGCGCACCGGCACACACGTGTTGCTGCTGCGCGCCGAGTGCTCCGGAACGTGGGAAATAAAGGCAGATGTTGCGCGCTGCGCGCCGAAATGCGACTAGGACGGGCAAAAAGGGCCCCATATAAAGAGCGACGAGCATGTGAAACGTATACGCATGCAGATAGTAAACGCAAACAGTGGTTGCACGAGTGAGACGGGCAAGAAGCGTAATATGATCGCTTATACATTGGGACATTCACGTTTATTTATACGTTATTCACGCAATGTGTTTGCACGAAGAAAAAAAAGCGCAATGTGAAGACATGTCGTGACACGCTGCGGAGTATCTTTAAATCCGTTTGCCTTAATTATCCCCGTACCAATTACGATAAATTATGTTATTACAAAATAAAATATTAAGTTTTACTTCCTTCTTCACATTTCTCTTTTGCGTTTAAAAAAGTTTGCGGTTTTTCTTAATTCGTATTTAATGCAAATGACAAACAAAGATTTTTATGCAATCCGTATTACAGTTAATTCTATAAAAAGTAATAAAATTATTATAAACGATCAACTCTTCGGTACGTATAGAAAACGGAATGATTTATGGAAACGCTGACTAGACACGAATGGAGATGAGTTGCTAATGCAGTAGTGCGCCTCGTCTGCGGCTGGATGTTGGTGTCTTCGTCCGCGCAACTTTATGAGGCATTAAATTACAAACAAATAAGTGCGGCGAGTGCACGAAGTCGCGGCTTGCGCCGGCGGCCGCGTGTTCGCCGGTCGGTGGCTTGGCTCGTGACGACCTCTCACCTCTTGCGCCCGTTCTTTCTCATCGCTTGTCTTCCCAGCGCCGCATCGCCGCATTGCTTATTATCCACCGTATCTATGCCGACGTCTTCTTCGCGTCGAGGTACCAAGCTTTTATTAACACAGCAAATTGAATTGAATATCATCAAACAAACTTCAACGACTTCTCCAATTGACTACCAGCATCATCCTTCTATTCTCATCAAGTAAATTGAAAAGTGGTTCATTTTTTTGTTCTCAACTATCATAACTATTCACTGTTCGCTTTTAATTTTTCGGGGATAATTGTCCAATGTGGATGCGCCGGGCAGTAACGGAGTAATACCTGCGCGAAGTTGAATGAAACCGCGCTCGCGTTCATTGTGGCCGAATAAATGAGTTACTACGCGCCGTGCGCGCGTAAGTAATGAGCGCGTTGTTCTCAGCCACGTCGGGCTGAGTATTGTATGTCGCGGATGTTTACGTCGCTTAACAACGATGTCACAAGTGACTTAAGTAATTACCCGAGTAAAGAAAACAAAGCAATGAACAACACCGGTGTGAGAACTGCGAACAGAACAGCACCACAGCGTCCGAAACACTTGCAAAGGAAACGTAAACGAACCTCTTCGCTTCCTGGTGTACTCAATTGCGCAAATGCACTTGCTAGAATATCACACAGTCAGAGGTTTCTATTGTCAGATTACGCATGCCCGGAAGAAGATGATCCGTGTGGTCGTTAGCACGTACGACTTATCTCGCGGCGCAAAAAATTCGTTAAATGACTCATAATCATAAGTCGTAAAAACGCACAGCACACACACAGGCATGCACTTTATTCCTATTACACTACGCAAATATAAAATGTAAGCGTTCCTCGATGGCCGCTGCCACATTGCGACATATGCGTATGTGTGCTGTGTGTGTGTGTTTATCTGTTTATTTTACACATCCGAGAAGTTGCCGTCCTCATGCACGACAGCGAGCGTACTTAAGTATACTTAATGCCACGACGAAGAAAAGGAGCGTGCCGTGGTGCAGACAAGGAGATCTGGCGGATCTGGTGTTGTCGGTGTGGCGAGGAGCGAATCCATGTGTAATGTAAACGGAGTAAGGTTGGCGGGCACCGTGGGAACGCGCCGGTCTCGAGCCGGCAGACACGCTTCGCTGCGCGCACGTAAATGTAAATGCACACATTATAAGTACGCCGCGCACGTATTAACGATTGCACGTGTTCGACACGAGATTGTCGTGCGTATTTAACTCCGCTCGCGCGCTCAACGGCTCGTCGTTTTACCTGGTCCGATGCCTACAGCTTTTATTGATGTGTAAATGCAATATGTAATGTGTAAGTGCACTTGCTTTGTTTTTATTGCATTTTTCTCTGCACACTCTCGAGAGTTAAACTCCATTTAATAGTTTATTTTGTGCTTTTTTTTTATAGAAAAAATAATGACCAAAAAAATATCGAAAAATGTAATCTGCACGAGTTAGGTAACACAATTGAGGGGTTGAAAGATGGAATTACTCAAAAGATTGGCGAATTTTTACAAAAATATATTAAAAACACACGTGGTCAACTGAACCGTGCGTTCCTTCCTCTCAATACTTTTCTTCTTTATTCGATGCAGTCCTTTCTTTCCGCTCCGCTCCTCGCTTTAAGTTTCTCGTATTGTGTCGAACTTTTCTTTTCTTCGCCTCAATACTTCCCCTTTCACGTGCTCCTCGTGTGCGCCGCACGATCCGATGTTCCAGTTATTGAAAGTGAAATAACGGGTACCTCATAGAGATTAAGCATGAACGGCAATAATGGCCCCAACCGGCAAGTCTTACAAGAGCAAGCAAGAAGTAAGCATCAAGAAAAGAAGAGCGTGAGATGGTGTGAGACGGAGGCATGCAAGCGAGCGGTGCACGCGATATACGCGCGCTTGTTTATTTTTTCTTAACGCCGTGGGTCCGTTTTTGGTTGCTTTATGGAATTACGGACAGATTTCGGCTGCGCGCTGCTCCGGTTTCCCACGCATCGGTACGCGTTGGCCATATGTCGTCGTTTTTAGAGCCACTCATCTCGAACACCAACTCACACATGCGCACACATACACATTTAAAAGTAGTCGTGTAGTTTGAATGCCCCTACATAGAGATATGGCCCGCCCGAGGCGAGCGCATTATGCCAACAAAACCAAAACATATTATGCCTTTCCGCATGCTAGCCGCATGTATACATGTGTGTGTGTGTGTGTGTATGAGAGTGTGTTATGGGGGTGGTTAAGGGCTGTTTAGTACACATTGAATGTCTGAGTTCCGGCTCGGAGACTCTCACGCTCCAGAGCGAGTGAGCGCGGCGATAATTGAAAGCGAATTAAAGGTGCAAAGAAGCAGGGCTCGGAGTCGTGGGAAAAGACGTTCTCACACGTCTGTTTTTCTATGGGGTGCGCACACGAGGTGAAAAAAAGAAACGGGGTTGCATCGACACGAGAACGAAGGGTGACCCCAACATAATGATGAATGCACGAAGCGAGCGATTCGTGTGCGACGCACGGGTTCAAATATTCATTAACTCTGCACACTGATAACTCAAAGCAGACGGAAAATGATTTTCGAAACCTCTGTAAATACCTACATAGTTGCGGTTATCATTATGTAATTGAATCTTACTCGTCTGTACGTGCGGTATAGAGATTGATTGAATAGTTTCATAATGTTGCGGAGTTTATTTAAATTGAACAAAAGCCTAGCTGCTGTGAATTAATGCCGATTCAATCATAAAATCAACAGCGCGCGATTGCGGAACAATCGAGCATTTAAAACGCGAACATGATTCACGTGGTGCATCGCGCCGCTTTAGACGCATCGCGCTCTCACCCGCGCGCAGATTACACGGCTGAGATTACGATTAAGAGCGTGCGGCGAGTGGAAGAACGTGCGACGGATGAAAGATAAAGCGCATTTTAGCGGCCGCATGCTGCATGCGCGGTTCCACGGCTCGTGCTGGCCGAGAAGGAGATCAAGCAAGAGAGTGAGAGAGAACAGGCTCGATTAGGTGGTGTGTAAGATTACGATGATAAAAGCCTGAAGGCATTTCACTGCTGAATAGAAAAGCGTTCCTTCACTACCGTGGGAACGTGGGAACCGAAACGGTCGACCGCGTCGAGAACGAGCCGAGCACGTGCTACAATTCAACGAGGCGAGCCCAAGAGACACACACACACACCAACACACATATAGAAATTTATATACAATATACGCGCACGCGGCGGTGAAGAGAACGCGCGCGCGACGACAACGAAGGCCTCGCCTCGCATCACCTTTACCAACACATCGCCAGCAACAACAACAACAAAAAGTCGCCGTCGCAATCTATCTATAATAACATTATTCGAGCGTATGCAGACTCCACGCCGCGCAATAAAGCGCAAGAGACGAGCGAGCGCCTCGCGAACAATGCAAATGCGGCGCTAAATAACTGCGCATGCCGCAAGAATCGCGCGCGCGTTCGCCGCAGATGGGAATTATAACAGTGCGAGCAATTAGCGAACTTCGGTAACTTCAACGCGCGATGCCCGATTAGCATTGCGAACACAGAAAAAAAAAGCAGTAACAACGTATATGCAACTGATTGCTTACTTAGCGATAAGATTATTACGTTCATTATATTTATGTAGGTATACGTATACAAAGTGACGTGTGCGTTTGGTCAGTCGAGTCGAAACGTGATACAGACGAAACGAAGTTGCGGAATTTCTGAATCAAAGCACCTGCTCGATTTTCCCACAAGTCCGAAACCGAACTCGATCGCGAACACTCTTTCATAAGATTCCTCCTGCATGCGAGAGCATACGTCCGAGCACACAGGTTGAAAAAACGAGTTATCTCTCTTACTAAGAACTTAAAACGCCGCGTATGCGGTTACATTTTAACAACAGGAAGTTAAAAATCATTAATAATTGTTGTTTATAAGCGCTGCGCAGCGAGTTCTATTAAAATGTGAAAGACGCAGCAAAACGAAGAGGAAAAAACATGACGGCGGTGTTATTACCAGGCACTTGGGAACTGTGTGTGTACGAGTTATATAAAAACTAGCAGAGTCACTATTGCCGCACTGGATGCTTAGCGCCGAAATATTGCGACGCGCCAAATTTCCTAAGAGGCTAGATTCATATGTTCGAATGTAATTATGTAAGAGCAGTAGTAGGTGAATAAATCGGATTGATCATGTGCGACAGATCCGGGCGTTGGTTGGAGGCTGGTGCTGATGCAATGCACTTCGCAAACAAACATCTCAAGATGATGGCTCACTTCGTCGAGTGTTATGACTAATCCGAGTGGCCGCAATCAATTTAAACAAGCAAATATAAACGGCTAATTGTCGTAGTAAAAACGGTTCGGAGTCGGCCGGGGCCGGATCGAACGCGTCGTAAAAGCTTGCAATTGTATCGTTCATCGGCCATAAAAAAAGATAATTGACGCCTCGCCTCGAGCGCCGGAGTCGGAGTCAATTCAGCAAGTCGCAAGCCACACCACACTAATGCGTACTACTCATTTTCTAATGCCATTTCAAAGTGCATCCGTGGAGTGCGCGCGAGAAGGACGACCCGAGTGATCTCTATATGTAGATCTCAGTTAGCGCTCGTATAGTGTGTGCTGTTATAAATGGGAACGTGTTCGAGCACGGACCACGCACGAGCTCTAATAATGTGGGTTAGATTATCTCGTAAACGACGATGGTTTATTGAAACGAGCGGCGGTGCGAGTGAGCACGCGGTGCCGGCCGAAGCGAGACGGACGCAGAAAGGCAGCTGCACGAGCTGCGGACGCTCACAGGTGGCTTAACTGTGGGAACGCCGAAGCTTCTGAGTTTCCCACGATCCGAGTCGCTCGCGCTCGCATGGTACGCGCGGCGGAGGGGTCCCTCATGACGGGCACCTGGACGCGTATATAAGCGAGTCCCTTCCACTTCGAAGTCATTCCAAGACTTGCTCTTGCTCAGTACGCATCGTGCGCTCTCTGCAAGCCTAACACGAAACACACACATTGTGCCTTACCAGCAAAGTCGCTTCTCGAAGTGCATCGATTAAAATAATAATCTCAGTTCGACCAAATAACAATAACTCAGTGAAAATGGAAGCCCAGCCCGTTTCGCGCACCTACCAATACCGCAAAGTGATGAAGCCGCTTTTGGAGCGCAAACGTCGCGCCAGGATTAACCGTTGCCTGGACGAGCTTAAGGACCTGATGGTCTCCGCGCTCTCCAACGAAGGCGAGAACGTCTCCAAGTTGGAGAAGGCCGACATCCTCGAGTTGACCGTCCGCCACTTGCACAAACTTCGCCGTCAGCAACGCCTGTCTGCTAACCCTGTGATTGACGCTGATCGCTTCCGTGCCGGGTACACACACTGCGCTAACGAGGTGTCCCGCTGCCTTGCTTCCGTTCCGGGAGTTGATGTCAACTTGGGTACCAAATTGATGACGCATCTTGGCCATCGTCTCAACGAAATGGACAAAGTGTCACCACTGATGATTCAAGTTGGACAAACTCAATACACCCCGCCGGGTACACCAACCCCCGAGGTATATGCCATGCCGCTCACACCCGCCTCATCAACCAGCTCGCGGCAGGCACCTTCTCCTGCGCAACCGATGGACTGCTCCACCGCCGGCTTACTCAAAGTCGCGCCAAAAAGCGAGCCTGTCTGGCGGCCGTGGTAAATTCACAATCGCCACAACACAAAATACAACAAGAAGACTGCAACATCGATCGTTTGGAGTCTCGAATTTGCTCAATCGCTTTACTAGAGTTAAATTGGAGTTTGACAAATCAACGTTCAATTCAAAGAGGTTTTGATCTCAGAAGCTAATTTTGTACTTTTCGACGAGTTTTAATCTTGTAAGCTTTAATTAGGAAGTAGCTAGGATAGATATGTGATAAAAACAGGCTCGATGAAATTTGTTCAACGCACAAGTCAGATTTGAGTTGGTGTACCTGTGATGTACGTAGTAGTAAACGAAAATTCAAAGGAATTGTAAATTTTCTAACATTTGTAAACTGATAATGAATTGTATTGCAAGCGTAACTGTGATACAGAAATACTATTTTTTAAACAAATGAATATATGGTTATCTAAAACATGAAAAATGCAAGTTTATCATTGGCAACACCCCAAATTTTAACCTTTCAGAACAGTCAAGGAAGAAGAACTCAAGAAAGAAGAGAAGATCAAAGAAGAAAAGCTCAAAAAAATCTTAATGCATGTTTATTTTGCTTGTAGACTTAGTTATCAAATTCTCATGCATGAACGTAGAAAATAATTCAATGCTTGTAATAACTCAATTTCATAAATGTAGTAACAAAGAGCAACATTCTGATAAAAAATAACGAAGTCACTAAATTTTTCTAAAATATTTAAATTTTCACAACTTCATTGAATATTATGACTACAATCATTTTATTAGTGATTTTTTTTAATAATTTACGAGAGCGACGGATGGATACTTGCAAAGTTTAAATCAGAAAGTTGCTCTGTAACGGATTTAATTCACCTAAACTTGGCGGTGGCGCCATCTACCGGATGACGTATCAACTCTCTTGTGCTAACTCATTCAATTCTTTGGAGGCTTAACAGCATGAATCATTTTTTTTAACAGGATTAAAACTAAAAGTAGAATTAAAAGCATTTCCTAGTTGAGCACGATTTGCTAATGAAATGTACATAGATTAACAATCTTGTTTATCCTCGGTGGTGTCGTTAGGACGCACCCTGGCACACATTAATTAGTCTAATGAATTTACTGGGTATTGGATATCTTTCACCCCGCTCACAACGACTGTAAAACTTAATTTTTTTCTATGACACCTGGTACGATATGAGTAAGGTTTGCGCTTTTATTTTTAGGGCGCGCACCTTCTCTTGTTTGATATTCGGAGTTTTTCTCCTCATTCGTGGAACGAGCGTCTAGGCGGTGCTTTGTTTCCACAAGTGGTATTTCACTTTAAATCGCATTTTCTCAGGTCGACATGGATGTCGAGGCACCAAAGAAGCGCTCGCGAAAGTTATCGAAGAAGGACCGCAAGCGTATGAGTAATTATTTTACGGAGTATTGCGACGCGACGAGTATTCACGGCTTTCGCTACCTTGGGGAACAAAAGAGGAGCTGCTTGGAAAAGTGAGTACTTTACTACCCTTTCGGCGATTGTTCGAGTTCTAATAACACTATTTCTTTGATGCATTTAGATTATGGTGGTTCGTCACGATTTTTGTTTCGGTATGTATTTGCACGTATTTGATCGTACAGACCTACCACAAGTGGGACCGATCACCAGTTATCGTGAGTTTCGCCACCAAGCAAACGCCAATTTGGCAAATTCCTTTCCCTGCCGTCACGATTTGCCCGGAAACCAAGAGCCGACAGAGTGTTTTCAACTTCACCGAGTCCTACCTGAAAGACTTCGACACACTCAATGCCAAGGAGTAAGAATTTCTATTATTTTTTTCTTAATTTAATTGAAAACTTAGTAAAAAATATTTATTTAATTTTATTTGTGTAGACGTATGGAATTAGAGCACATTTCAATGATTTGTAAACCTCGCAAACTTCTAAAATCGAAGAAATTGAAGAGTATGCAAGTGAATGAAAGCATCTTGAACTTTTTCGATGAGATAGCTCCGGGGATCGCTAATATGACAATCAAATTCGTTTGGATGGGCGAAAAAATCGATTATTCCGCGGTGTTTACACCAATTCTAACTGATACTGGTATATGCTATACATTTAATATGTTGGACCGCAGGGAGCTGTTTAATCCAGTGATCAAACCGTTCAAGAATTACCTACACCATGATAGGTCCGCCCAGGGGCATTGGTCACTTGAAAACGGTTATTCTAAAGATGAGGAGAAAGACACGTTCCCGCGGCGCGCTTTGTTTTCGGGAGCTAAGAACGGAATGGATATTACTCTGGTGACCTATGATAAGGATGTAGACTATATATGCGGGGATGCTCTACAGGGTTACAAGGTAGGATAATATTCCATTTTTTTGTGTAGTTGGTGTAGATGTAGAATGAACTTGATGAATTTTATAGATTTTATTACATCATCCTGCTGAGATACCCAGAGTAAGCCAGCAGTATTTCTGGGCACCGCTTAATCAAGCAGTGATTGCAGCGATCAAACCGGACATGATGACCACCTCTGATGAATTGCGCACATATCCGCCTAATAAACGTCAGTGTTACTTCCCTTCCGAACACAGTCTGCGATTTTTTACAGTTTACACCCAACAAAACTGTGAAATCGAATGTTTAGCCAACTACACCTATCAACTGTGTGGATGTGTAGCTTTCTACATGCCTAGTAAGTGAATTCAACTTAGAAAACACGAAAATATTCAATGTTTCATTCTAAATAGGAGCAGCAGATACACCAATCTGTGGACCAGGTAATCTACTATGCATGAAGCAAGCAGAGACAAAATTACTAAGCGGTGAGATAGACATACGCTTGAAAGAGCTCAAAGAAGAACAACAAAACAACACCGAACCATTCCAAGGACTTATGAAGGGTATCGAAGGCATCACGACGAAAATAAGCGAGATAGGCGGTAAGCCGGCGGAATCCAAACCCAAAGCAGAGAAACGCACCGATCAATCCAATTGCAAATGTTTACAATCGTGCACGTCGCTGAGTTACAGCGTGGAGACTTCGCAATCCGATTGGGATTGGGTGCAACATTACATTGGCTTGAATGACCCGTACGGATTTGTCGCGGCGAACGTGAAAAACGGCACGCGCCTCGCGCACTTATCGCGGATTGTTTTATTTTTCAAGGATATGCAGTTTATCGCATCCGAGCGCGACGAGCTCTACGGGCATATTGATTTCTTAGCCAATTGTGGCGGTTTGCTGGGTCTTTTCACAGGATTTTCATTTATTTCACTTGTTGAGGTGATTTATTTCTTGTCGTTGAGACTTCTATGCAACATGAAGAACAAGGCAAAGAAACGCTTAAATGGCGAGTAAATTTAATTTAGCGGTTTCAGACACTACAAATCACGAATGATCACAAATTGAATGTTAATATGTAACACTTTCGTTTTTACACCATCGCATAACTTGAATTGTAATTCTGATTGAATAAAGGCGAATAGTAGTGTTGTGTGATTTGCACCTTATCGGAATATAAATGGCATGTCGAATACACGCTTAAAACATGCAAGAATTATAAACAAAGCAAAAATAATTCACCCACCTTTCGGACAACCATGGTAACATCAACGGCACAGCTAGGGGAGAGTTCGTAGCACGATTATTAATTATATCTAACGTTTGTACTAATACATCAAGAGACAAAACGCGCACAACACAAATGACCGACCGATACACTTTTTCCAGCGTTGTGAGGGTAGCATAACGCGGCGTACACCGGAAACAGATACCTACTACGCACTTCACTTTTGCAGGTAAAAAAAAAAACAACAAGAAATCAAGTATGAATCAATTCATAGTAAAGTCTTGTTCTTCGTTCATTCATATAAAAATGTTTAATATCTTTATTTACAACTTTAAATCGTTATTCCTCCAATTGCGTTCACATAATTTGATCCGATTGCATGTCGAAGTTGGGAAGATCAAATGTACTGTGCTCCAGTGTAGCAATTTTCATTGATAATAATGAAATCGGTTAATAACTAGCAGAAATTCGCTGGGTTCGAGGCCGATTTGTATTCAAAGTGCACGTTTCCTTACTATAAGAAAACCGTAAAACGCGTTAGGCCACTTTTATAATTGTCACATGAAAAGGCATTCCAGCGGCAACGACTGAATCGACTAAGAAATTTTAGTGCTGCAACTTGATCGTATATATGTACGTACAGTACGACACAGCATTGTAGAAAAAAATGCTCGATTCTTTTCGCTGTAAGATTCGTATAAATAATTTCGCTTCTTCGTTGAATCGAAATCGTATCGTGTTCATGGCACCCAATTTTTAAGTAAAAAATACTGCAACTACTATCGATTACAATATAGGCATATAAAAATATGTATATATCTACACAATTCACATAAATTCATAAATAATTAAATAAAGAATATTTTTACACAAGGCTCGTTTGTATTATCTAGCTACTTATTACTTCATTCTCGGCCAACAAGAACTGTTTTCGTGGTGATAAAGGGGAAGGTCGCGTCTCGAATGTGTTTGTTCATGAAACTGTCAACGTGTATTGTGTGATTACTTAGCGAAGGCACTTTTCCACCTGATTTCCTGATTAAGTACAGGTTATTTACATTATTTTCGCTCGTCGAACGCGTCGGCGTCCATTACATATGCCAACCAATATGAAACCTTGGTTGCACTTCGTCGTGCCCTTCGTGATTGTGTTACAATGTAAAATAAATAAAAAAAAGTCTATTCAGAGTCCTGCCCGTAAATCGTAAGACTTTCAAACAATAGCATCGTCCGCGTCGGGCTCTAATTCGTAGTGTTTGTAAATATGTCTGTCCATCATTATTATTAAATTATTAATTAAATTAAGAACTAAATCAGTCGATTGTTTTGACCTGCGCACTAATCCTGCCCTCCCAGAGTGGAAGCACGTCTGCGTCGCTGCTGACCTCCTCCTGGATGACCTGGTTGTCCAACTCCTCGCACTCCGTCTTGAAGAAGTACCGATAGTTGCCCTTCTTCGGCAGGAACTCCTTGAACTGCTTGAGTGTCACCTGCTTACCGGGAATTTTGATGCGGTATGGAAATTGCTCCTCGCAGAACGAGAACACCACAGTTGTATAATGTTTACACGGTGTTCTACTGAAAACGAAATAAATATGTGAATTATTTGCTTTTTTTAAAGCTGTCAGATATTTACCTTTGTTTCGAACGCGTTCTGAGATCTTCATCTTTGCCTTCATTCAATCTCCTGATGGCTTCTTCAAGCTGAATAGTAGTGTTGGGTTGAGGTAGTGGCGGCATGCTGGGATCGGCGACGAACGGCTGCGCAGGACACAACGTGCTCGACGCACCACTTCGCTCCAGACTATTTGATCGCGACCCGTAATTTTTACGATGCCTGCTAAACCAAGGAAAATTAATACATAGATTTAGTTTGGAATTTTGTATTGTGACATACCTGCTAGCACTAGAAGGTAAGGTGGAGCTTGTTGTGCTTCTATGCCGACTGTGTTTTGAACCAGACATTTCGGTGTGAGTGTAGCTGCTGGTACGACTGCCGCGCTCGGACTCCTCCAGCCAGAGGCGTACGCGACTGTCGGGTGGCGTGTCAGATACCACTGAGACACCGCTATCGGTAAACTCAGTGGGCGCTTTCTTTGAAGAACGCCTCGTGGCACAACCGCGCCCAAAGCGCTCCTCGGGATACTCGGGCATACTCTTCGACTTCACCATCTTATGCTCCTCGCCGAAATCGTGTACGTTGCCTGAGTCTCCACTGAACGTCGAGAAACCGTCTTTGTCCTTGCGACGCACTCGCACCGACTGATACTTGCGCGGCGAGTGAGGACGCGGACTCGTTACACCTGGCGAAAGTGCGTGTGATGTGTTATCAGAGAAGACGATCGAGACGTGATCGTCTAAGATCTGCTGACAGTTGTCATCCTCAAGCTCGCGGATTGCGTTTGCCAACTCGCGACTTTGCAATTCGTTGGTTGCACGGCATTTTTCGTTGAGCGACGTCAACGAATCGCTTTCAGAGAGCTTACGTTCCAAGAGTTCGTGTTTGTCTTGACTACGCTTCAGAGTTTCCAGTTTTTGTATGAGGATGGCGGCAAATTCGTCTGGCATCAGCGGTTTCACCTGCTGCTTATCAACGCGCTGCGTACGAGGGATGACTGCTTGATGCATGTGCGTCTCTTTGTTTATAGCAGCGCTTTCGCGCACCATACGTGCCTCGATTGACGCACTTTTGCGACGTGTCGAACGGTGCAAAGATCTTCCATCACTAATCAAAAAATAATTATTAGTTAATAAATAAAACTTAGAATCAAAGAAATTGTCATGCAACGCTTGCTTTGACATATCTACGAAATCAAACGCAAATAAAATGCATTCACAGTGAAGGAACGGAGGGTAGTGTGATACTTACATCGAGCTATCTGTAAGCGACATATTGTCGGATTCCGTGCGTGCATCCGAATGTGAACTGATCGACTGCTTCTCGCTATCTTGCCGCGACACAGGATTATACGAATTATACAGGTGCAGCCCGCCGGACCCTCTATACATACTAGCCACACAAAAGAAACCAAAACGAAATAATAAATAAAACGAAATCATAAACGCAATGCAATATATGCAAGATTAATGAAAATAATATAAAAAAATATATGAAACCAATGCAACTATGCAAGATGCGAATTGTGCTGATATTGAATTGTTACTTACTCGGCCGCAAACGTCTCCGTTTGAGGGCGCACGTCCATCGCACGATTTTTCTGCGTCGCAAGCAGCATATTTCGCGTGAGACGCATCGGACCATGGGCAATCGACGGCGATTGGTAGCCAGGAAGTGGCGCGTTCTGGCATTGATGCAGTGCGCCAAACAACGACGCATTATGAAATTCCTTATCTTCGTGGATGATAGGCAAGGGGTTACCGCCACATGCCAACGACGTTAGATCTTTGTTACTGGCCGAGCTGCTGGAAGATGACGATTCGCTACTGAAATCGCCGCTGCTACCCGCTGGATTTTGAACGGACTGCAGACAAAAAAAACATTCAATATTGTAATAAAATACCACGATGGATATAAATGTGCATACCTGAATGTATTGCAGGTAAAGTTCGCTCTTGAGGAAGATTGGATACGTCGTGTTGTTGATCAGATTCTCCACCTGCGACTGCGCCGCGTCAAACAGCGTTAGAAATTGCTTGAAGTCTTCAGAAGATTTCAGACAGCGACCGACTTCGCGTTTGATGTCTTCGGAGATTGGAAGTGACGATTTCAGGAAGTAACGTCTAAATTAAAAAAAAAAAACGCAATAAAGATGTTTATCGATGAATAAAGTATGTAATGCTTACTTGTAAATAACTTTGACTACACGATCGGGTTCACTCTGCTTGAGTAGACCCTCGCAGGCTGGATCAGGCTGACTCCGCTTGCGAAGGCCTTCGCAGGCTAACCAGAAGTCGAGCGCGTCCGCGTTGCCCTCGGCCTGCAGGAAACGCTTGAATAGCATAACGCCATCCGGGTCTTCCAGCAGACAGTGCAGTGACACCGCCCAGCGTAGGCATGCCGGCGGAGATGTGTTTTCCGACTGCGGGCGCTGAGAAGACGACGCCGACGTCAACGATGTCACCGATTTACTATCACCGGTGTATTCTGTAAGCAACAAACATTCAATACCATCTGAAATTTTGAAATGGCAATGTGATGACGTACCATTTAAACTAGATGATTTTCGACGGGGTTTGTACGAATAGGGATACTCCATTGGTAACGTGCAGTCGGAGACGCAATGAGTGCGCTCCTCGCCAGGGACCGGTGGGCGCGGTGAGTTCCGGTCAAAGACGCCGTCGTGCACATGAAGGCTGCTCGACTTGCGATTCATAATGGTCGCCTCTTCGTTTGACTACAATTGGTGCTAAAAGGATACGGCGCTATTTTAGCTAGACTTGATCGTTGCGTACGTGGGCTGGAAGACGCTGGCTTATTCGTCATAGTGTTGAACGGAAGCCTGAAAAAAATTGCAAACATTTAATTTTGACTATTTAAAATTAATATTCAAATCATTTCATATTGGCTCAAAGATGCATCATATCAAAAATATTTAGAATGACTTTCATTGTAGAGATAAAAATCAATACAAATATGTTCTGCGAAGTAAAATCAGAGAGGAGGGTAGATTTGAGTGTTCGAGCTAGTTGAATTGGGCCCCAGCCTGAGCCAACCGATCAATACTGCCAACTCCCAACTCTCAACAAAGCAGTCTCTCGAAAGCATGAAATATATTTCATGCATGATTCTTAATAAACTAAAAATATTAATATAATACTACCAAAAAATTAAGGTATACAATTACACCAAACTTTTTACTCTACACTGGAGTAGGTAAAAACACCTTAGACAAAAGAACTCATATACCCAGGTAAAAATATGAAATTAATAACTTGGGGGATGTATATAAAACTCCATACCATTTTTCCAGCTGCCAGCACAAATCAAACTAATAGAAATCACTGCACAATACACTTTTCCTTCCTACAGGTAAACTAAACTATGAAATATTAATATTGCTCTTGTCTATTGCTGTACTGCTTTGTTCAGTTCTCGCAACCTGACTGCTTGGGAGATCTGAACACTCCGCTGTGACTGACTGCACAATACAGAGTGAGGCTGCGGAGCACATTCAGAGTCTGATGCTGTAGCCCCAAGTTCTATGCGACTGACTAAGCTGGAGAATGTAATCGATGAGTGAGTCAGTTTGTAAGGGGTGGGTGTGTAGACTCAATGTGAGAAAAATCAAAGTTCTACTTCTTACAACTGGGTCTTGACTGACACTGATCCTGGGTAAATTTTGATGGGGCTCTGCCCAGGGGTGCTAAAAATTATGTTTGCTTTAGAACATGTGCAGGCAAAATTATTAGCTTACGAATACGAGTGTAGATAGAGATGAGCCTGTGATGGCTTGGTGGACTGTAGCGAGTACTAGCTGGTGGCAAATGGGCTCTAAGGAGAAGGCACGTTCTGTTTTCGAGGTTAAGCGGTTAAGTCGTGCGTGTTGTGCGTAGCGTACTAAGCACGCCAGCGGTCGAACGCCATTTGTTTTTGTTTGGGTTCCGGAATGGACTCAGCGGTGGGCGCAGGGCAAGCGCAGCGGACTGCCTATGGTCGCTTAGATGCTCATGCTGCTGACATCTGGCGACAGTACGTGACACTGACATACAACCCTCACGTGACTTAAGCCCCTTTTGTGGTAAATCGAGCGCAAATCACTATGAAACTTGTAGTTTACAAAGAATGGGTAGTGGTACCCGCACGGTACTATACAAATTCCGATAATCTGGGGTGGACCTTTTTTTCCGTAGAGAAATGCGTAAAAGAGCGTAAGTACAATTTATTTTGTCGTATTTGAGAATTGAAGCCGCAACTACTACGAGATAAGCAGGTACGCAGTTCAAGCGCCACCTTAAGCTGCAAAATGCTTCAATTTCAAGTATTCTATTATTTTATTTTAACGTTTTAAAGAAATGTAATACATAATTTCTTCTAATACTGATACCAGAGGAATTAAAAGAAATATAGTCGGCTACCATGAAAATTACAGACCGCCCTGGAACAATTTTTGCCACATTTCAGCCCTTTAGTCGCACTTTGCTGTGATCCGCAGCCGGCAGCCATATTCGTAAAAAGTAAAATTGCTAAATTAAGTTGTCCGAACTTATAATTGCCGTATAGACATGCAACGCCAATAATCTCACGTAAACCAAAACGGCGCGCGCACAAATAAATAAAAGCGGTGCGCAGTTCGAAGAAAAACAACGACGAAAAGAACAACAACAAAAAAAACGTTTCGAATGAAAAAAAAAAGCAGGCGCGCTGGTCCCGCGCGGCCAAAAAAGAAAAAAGCACCAATATAATAAGCACCTTGCGGTCGTTCTCAGACACCTTTAAATTATAGTTCACGGCGTATTATAACTCGCAGCGACGCGCATGAAAGGGCCGCCGCCCCGCCGCGCAACGGCCAACGGATTCGTCCGGATCAAAGGATATTACGACATCAATCATTTGGATTTTTTTCTTTCGAGCGCGCGCGCCGATGGGTGATGCACCGCGGACGTTGACGGGGCGTTGGGGGCCAAAGGTGGCTGCGGCGCGCGAAGAAGAGGCCGAAATGGAAGCAGAACTATCAATTAACGCCTCGAGGTGCCGGCCTGGAATTGATTTAATGACAGACGGTCGGCGTGGAGGAACAACTTTCAAACTTAGGGAACGAACGTCGCGTTTGCTTCACGCAAGCGCGAGAAACGGGAGAAGCTGGGCACGGAGAACAGGAATCACGCTTTGGTTGCTCCACAAAGCTGTGGCAGGATGCGTTTAGATGTCGCCAAAAGCATGTACAAACTGAAACCCATCCAAAAATATGGCACTGAATACCATTTTGGTATATATTCTTGTACTTTGTTACATTTTAAGGATCAAAAACACATGATAGATATTGTACTTTGATTTACGTTACAAATTATTTAGTCTATTGATTTTTCACTGAGTTTTTCACTTCTATTGACGCGTTGCACGTACGCATGCAATATTATGAATCATAAACCTATGTGAGTCGACGACCGCCAAATTAATCCAATCCTTTAAAACGCATTAACATTTGAGTTGCGGTACATGTACTGTTGGTCAAATTTCTGCAGTTCTCTCAATTGCACTTTCAGTTGAATATATTTTTTAATTATCCTTTTCTCTTTCAATACGCAAGTAATAAACACAGAAATTATCAGAAACCCCGCCAAATATTGCGGTGTATCAAATAACGATAGAAAAACAAAAAATATACGCTGAATTTTTGCTAAAAGATGTTTAGGCGGCTTCTAAAGTTGTGTTTTTGATCGTATGCCGCTTATATCCTTTAAAATTTTTATTTTTCTCTGAAGGGTCGGCCGTAATCTGTTTCTTCTCTTTGCGCGACTTTTCTGAAAGTCACAGCGTTCCTTTTGCCGGCAGGATGCTAATGCAGCGAACACGCGTGCACAAACACAATGAGCAAACATAACTTAAAACACAGCGAAAACGACGAACAAAACGTCGAATAATAACGCCGCCGAAGCCGGCGCGCGGCTTAAAAAGCGCGAAGAAGACGCGAGATGCATTTGACCGCAGAAAAACACATATTTTTCCTTCTGCCGTCTTTTAATTCCCAGTTATAAGTGTCGCTCTCGCTTGCGCTCGCGCACGCCGCGCCGTTTTTGGTATTCAATGAATCCTGTCCTTTTCAACGCGACGAAGAGCTGGGCAGATGCGCGCGAGTAAGAACAGAAAGAGACAGTCGCGCATAATGCGAGCGGCCTCAGTTTAATAACCATAAATAACAAGCGAGACGGAGGCACATCGATGGAAGAAGCGCGCTTGAAATGCGTGGCCCCCAAGAAGACACGGAGCACACCGGCAAAGGACCCGAATGCCGACAACCTCCACGTTTCTGACACCCAGTGCAGCGATCGTGGGTGTGGTGCACCTATGTTTCACAGTGACAACGCCGAAGAAAATCACTAACTTTCTGATGGAAATCAACGTAAGCGATGCGTGACGTGTGAAACTTTTTCAAACGTATGCAAAACTTGTGAAACGTTGTGTACAGCGCAAGATTTACGTTTTACCTGTGCACGAGGACGAGGCACGGCGAAAGCGTTAAAGCGCTCGGAAGACCGCGGTGTTCGGTGTTATTTCTTTGAAGCCCAGCGGCGGTCAGTGGTACTGGTGTGCCGCGGTTGCTGACCTTAGTCAGTCTATCAATGCGCGCACCTTTTCTACCAGTGTTTCCCAAACGTTTCTTATATTCACAAACATGCATTCTTAAAAAAAATGAATTTTCTAAACACGCAAAACGTGAAAATGTTAACGTGTCAATTACGATAATGAAGATTTTATGAGGCGCCGAGGAGCGCCGCACCTCGACACTACCCAGATGTGTAATTTGTTTACTTGTCAAGCCAACAACTGATGCATGAACACGCGAAACCAATTTAATTAATCGAATAGAAGGCTATTTCAGCCCGGACAGCATAAAAATATATAATTTACTTGCATTTTGGAATTGGTCAGAAGTAGCACTGGCGTAGAATACATGCTTGACTATTGAAAACTTGATTTTTCGGCGGGTTTTGAATGAGGACCTTACTAGCGCGTGGTTGAAGACACTTTACACCTTCACGGAAAATATTTCGACGCAGGAAACGCAGTTTACGTTACAATGCGCAAGACCAGAGGAAACGGAGATGGTGGTCCCGGTAATATTGACGTAGGTGTTGTTGTAAACAAATAAAAAGTTGATTAACACTAATTTCCAACGTCAACTCTTCGCAGAAGACGGATGTGGAATATAACATAATCAAGCTTGAGACAACAAACCTGTCTAGATGAAAATGAATTGAACAAAACACTAATCAACAGGGTTTTACCTAAGAAAAACTTTTTTAAGCACAAAGAAATATTAGTATAAAAAATATTTTTAATTTTTTTTTAATTGGCCAGATGGTTGCAGAATAAAATTGTTGATAATTATTGTATAGAAAATATTTGGTCTGAATTGATTCGTAGGATGTTTATAAGACACTCAGTAGGTGAATGTCACATGTGTGCGTTGTCCTGAGTAAAGAAACGAACGACAGCACGAAAAAACAACACACAAAGTGCATCGGGGAAAATGTAGCCGTCGCCGTCGTCGGGAAATATTAACGCGCGCCGCGTGTTCTTCATCGCGCTCGATGACCTATGTTCGAGCGCGTGTAGTTGTTAGTTAAGTGTATAAAAGGCGGCGCGCTTTGATCTTTGCCGACATACGAGTCCTACACGACGCGCCGAACGCCCGACTGTCTATATCCGCATCCCGCACATCGCGAGCAGAAATAGAAGTTCATATAACGCACGAAGAGCCCGACCCCGCTAAGCCACTATCACTTAGTGATAGCGATAAATTCTGAAGGTGGATAAAGAGTTGGCGGAATCGATCCC